AGAACTCGCAACTCCACGCTGAAACCCGGGCTGACGCACCACACATGCCGGGCTAATGCAACCTCTTGAATCAATCGGCCGACACCACAGCCGGGTACCTAAAATGCAACCAGAGCCAACCCGCTTCCGGGATGGAGACGACCACGAACTCAAATTCCAAAATATTATAAGCGGCCGAACAGACCTCGAGATCCGACGTCAAAATCCACAGCAAGTTCACGGCCCACGACCTTGCGAGGTGGCCGACCACTCCGTACCGCCTGGCTGACGTCGCGAGCCAACTTCGCCACCACGACTAGCCGTTCAAGCTCCAAAAAAACACGTTTTTGTGAATATGCGACACGGGCAGCCATGGCGGTGGCCTTGATTTGGACGTTAACAATTCAGGCGATGCACTTGTCCAAGACTTAGCAGTCGGCGCTGGTGAGTGGGTGCCAAACTCATCGGATTCCATTATTCTTTTTCTTAAAAAAAATCAAAATTTAATTATTATTATTAATTTTTTTAAAGTGTCTAAATTTTATAAGAACTTGGTTGCAGGAGACTATGAGAGCAATGGATATTTAATTGTTTCATCCAATGGAGAACTCAATCAAATGCGCTCTGGAGTATGTTATTTCATTAATTTTTTTTCCACCCCTTTTCTACTAATTGTTTTGAAATACAAAGTTTTTTCAATTTATTCGTAGCATGAAAAATATATATGATGACGTCCACAGTGTCTGTTTTTGACTGTTTGCTTTACTAACCGGCCTTGGGATGCAAATGGTTTGGTAGTTTCCAAATTTTGTGTGAGACGACCTAATCGTTAGACTGGTCGATCTGTTACTTTTTTTTTTCTTTTTAAAATAAAATTCATAATTATTCTATGAAATATTATACTTTATTTTATAATATTCTTTAGAGTGAATGTTTGGTTCGAAAGTACATATAAATACACGAAATAACATATTTTTATTTTATATTGAGCCTAACTTTTATGTTGCTAGTTAGTTTCCTAATTTGGCCAAACCTGGAGGGCTGTTTTTGCAAATATTCTTTAATATTTATTTCTTCCTTGGTCCAAAAATACTTGATGCAGATATATGACATGGTAGCCATTGCAAGATACATGAATGCCACACATGTGGTTCCTCAGCTGGATACCAAATCTTTCTGGAAGGATCAAAGGTAAATAATATTCTGGAGATAAAATACAAAAATTCCCCAAATAATATTAAAATTTTAACATGTAAAAAGAAGGAAACTCAAATTGAAAAAAAAAAAAAGCAATTTTGATTTCATGCAGTCAATTCGAAGATATATTCGACGTCGATCATTTCATCGACTCACTAAGAGATGAGGTCAGAATAGTAAAACAACTTCCACCAGATATGCAGAGAGAGGTGAAAATGAACAGACATATTTCCATGCAACGTATTAGCTGGTGGTCCTACATTTCATACTACACAGACAAGATTTTTTTCTGAAACTTTTGAAAATTTGAAAAATCATCTTTATTATTTAGTCCAATTATAAAATTTTTCTAGATGTGTCTGCAAAATTACAAACATTTTAAATTTTTTTCATTCTATGTTGGTTCTTCATGGTAGTCTGAAGAACCACAAGATTCTGCATTTTCAGAAAACCGACTCTAGGCTGGAAAATAACGGTCCATGTGGAGGTTCAAAAGGTTCGTTGCAAGGCAAGTTACGAGTCCCTGAAGTTCAGGGCTCCGATCGAGAAGATGGGGAAGAAAATCATGAAAATGATGAGACAGAAGGGTAAATTCCTAGTCCTCCATCTTAGGTACGAAATGGATATGTTGGCCTTCACGGGTTGTAATCGAGGCTGCACCGTTGAAGAAGCAAAGGAGTTGGAAGGACTAAGGTGATATTAATGAAAAAGACTCTAAGATTTTAGTTTATTTGCACAAAAGCCCCATCTGTCCTTCAGAATAGAAAAAAGTACTCCCACTGTGTGAGAATTTGAGGAGGGGCACATGTAATTCTGAGGCAGGACAAAATATTATTATTATTATTTTTATTTATTTTTTTTATTTTTTGTGAAAGTAAAATGCACATGTGATATCAGATATTCAATACCATGGTCAAGAAAGAAGAAAATAAATTCGACCACAACGAGATTAGCAGGATCGTTTCCCTTGACACCCGAAAAAACTGCATCGACCCTTCAAGCACTTGGGGTTGACCGAGAAATGCAGAATTACATTGCCTCAGGTGACATATACGGAGGAGAAAAGCGATTGGCTCCACTGAGAGTAGCCTATCTAAATTTGGTTAGTTTGAAAAAAGGAAGTTCGTAACATATCGAAAATTATTTCAAGTAGTTGCTATTATTTTTTTTTTTACCATCTTATCCTAATTTTTATCAGGTGAAGAAGGAGACGTTGTCGCCTCCATCTGAGCTTTTGCCTTTCAAGAAGTATGCAACCGAAATGTGTGCACTTGACTACATAGTGTCACTAGAGAGTGACACTTTTTTTGCCGACTTATAGAGGTAATATGGCGAGACTAGTAGGAGGCCATCGAAGGTATTACTCTATTGTATAATATTTTCCTTAATTATTCAGGATTTAACTTAACAAAGCACTCATCGTGTTTTCTCTCTTTTCCATTCTATAAGTTCAACCAAACGCAAAAGAATTATCAACTAGCAAATAATTAGTGTTCAGTAGAAAACTACCCTAAAGTTAGCCTAATTAATTACAAAATGACCAATTCTCTCCTAGTATTACAAATTAATTGCACAATTCGATTTTCAGATACCTAGGTTTCAGGCCAACAATACGACCGGATCAGAAGGCATTAGTCCATTTGATAGACAAATACGAGAAAAATACAACTGGCAAAAGTTCGGGCAGGGAGTGAAGAGAGCTCATGAAAATCGATATGGGAATCCGACAAAAAGAAGGGTCAAATTCTGAAGTGCGCTTAGTAAAGACCGATATAATAGAAAAATCGGGATGTCCAATGTGGAAATAGCTCCCATTGGCGTTGACAATTGTTCATAGCATGGCAGTGCTCGGGATTTTCTCTTGCTGACATTTCAGGTCCCAATATTATATTAGAGCAGCGTTTTTCAATTTTGATTTATATATGTTTTTAATATGGAAAAGTCATATTATAACACTACTATCAAATGGCAAGTCTGGTTTTATAATTGTAACAACGGTAATTTGGGCAAAGAACACACAATGGCACAACACAGTTCAAACATAGACAACAAATAAAGCATTTGGGTCATGAGCTTCTCGAATTTGATTTTGCATTTCAAACTTGTTAGTTACAACCAATGGTAATTTTCAATAACATAGATATCAAATCAAAACCATTCTATATTAACATAAATGAGAAGGAAGACATAGAAAAGCGAAATTTTAAGAAATAGTTCGCGCATATACAAGGATCAAATAATAGGCTACCCAATGAAAACTCACTCGGTTGGAGAAGAAGAGCTTTGGAGCCCATCACAGAGTATTATTATCAAATTTTTTGCCTTTGATTCGAAGGAGTGGAAAAATTAAGAAGGAAAAAATTAAGAGCAATTTTAATATATGTGGGATGAAAAACTGAAAATCGTATTTATGTGCTTAAATGAATGTGGGCTTGTATAGGAGGTAATTATTTCAAAAATAAAAAGCAATTTTTAGTATATGTGGAATGAAAATTTTATGTGCTTAAATGATTGCAATTTTTATATGTGTGGGGGGCAATTATTTCTACTATGAATCAAATCATAGTTTTTTTAACTAGTTATTTTACTAAAAATAATTTTTTTTTTCTTAAACTTGTAACAAGAAGTATTTCAATCCTAATACACTTGTACCACTTAATCCCATCATATGAGTTCAGAGTCATACTAAAACACTAATTCTATTCTTATAATAATAAAAAATTTAAGAATGATAAAATCTTTTCTCTTTCTGCATGCTTCCTCTCGTATATTTTCTTTTTCAGACCCTTCTTCTCGTTCTCACACTCAATATGATTATCACTTAATTACACATATTATCTTCTCCGGATGAGTTGAAAATACTTAAAAATATTAAATCTCAGCAGAAGCTGATAAGGAATCGAGTAGCCGTTCGACCTTGAAAAACACGTTTTTGTGAATATGCGGCACGGGCAGCCATGGCGGTGGCCTTGATTTGGACGTTAACAATTCAAGGGATGCACTTGTCTAAGGCTTGGCAGTCGACGCTGGCGAGTGAGTGCCTAACTCATCTGATTCCATTATGGTTTTTCTTTAAAAAAATCACAATTTAATTATTACTATTATTAATTTTTTTAATGTGTCTAAATTTTAAGAACTTGGTGTCAGGAGACTATTAGAGCAATGGATATTTAATTGTTTCATCCAATGGAGGACTCAATCAAATGCGCTCTGGAGTATGTTATTTTATTTATTTATTTATTTTTCACCCCTTTTCTACTATTTTTTTTAAATACAAAGTATTTTTCAATTTATTTGTAGCATGAAAAATATATATGATGACGTCCACAATGTCTGTTTTTTACTGTTTGCTTTACTAACCGGCCTTGGGATGCAAATGGCTTGGTAGTTTCCAAATTTTGTGTGAGACGACCTAATCGTTAGACCGGTCGATCTATCATTTTTTTTTTCTTTTTAAAATAAAATTCATAATTATGCTATGAAATGTCATACTTTTATTTTATAACATTCTTTAGAGTGAATGTTTAGTTTGAAAGTACATATAAATACACGAAATGACATACCTTTATTTTATGATTGTGCCTAAAAAACAACCTTCATGTTGCTATACGTTTTCTAATTTGGCCAAACCTTCAGGGATGTTTTTGCAAATACTCTTTAATATTTTTTTTCTTCCTTGATGCAAAAAAACTTGATGCAGTTATGTGACATGGTAGTCATTGCAAGATACATGAATGCCACTCTTGTGGTTCCTCAGCTGGATACCAAATTTTTCTGGAAGGATCAAAGTTAAACAATATTCTGGAGAAAAAATACAAAAATTCCCCAAATGATATTAAAATTTTAACATGTGAAAAGAAGGAAACTCAAAAAAAAAAAAAACGCAATATTCGTTTCATGCAGTCAATTCGAGGATATATTCGACGTCGATCATTTCATCGACTCACTAAGAGATGAGGTCAGAATAGTAAAACAACTTCCACCAGATATGCAGAGAGAGGTGAAAATGAACAGACATATTTCCATGCAACTTATTAGCTGGTGGTCCTACATTTCATACTACACAGACGAGGTTTTTATCTCAAACTTTTGAAAATTTGAAAAATCATCTTTATTGTTTAGTCTAATTACAAAATTTTTTCAGAGGTGTCTGCAAAATTACAAACATTTTAAATTTTTTCCATTCTGTGTTGGTTCTTCATGGAAGTCTGAAGAACCACAAGATTCTGCATTTTCAGAAAACCGACTCTAGGCTGGAAAATAACGGTCATTTCAAAAGGTTCGTTGCAAGGCAAGTTACGAGTCCCTGAAGTTCAGGGCTCCGATCGAGAAGATGGGAAAGAAAATCATGAAAATGATGAGACAGAAGGGTAAATTCCTAGTCCTCCATCTTAGGTACGAAATGGATATGTTAGCCTTCACGGGTTGTAATCGAGGCTGCACCATTGAAGAAGCAAAGGAGTTGGAAGGACTTAGCTGAGATTAATGAAAAAGACTCTAAGATTTTAATTTATTTGCGCAAAAGCCCCATCTGTCCTTCAGAATAGAAAAAAGTACTCCCACTGTATGAGTATTTGAGGAGGGGCACTTGTAATTCTGAGGTAGGACATAATATTATTATTATTATTATTATTCTTAATTATTTTTTTTATTTTTTGTGAAAGTAAAATGCACATGTGATATCAGATATTCAATTCCATGGTCGAGGAAGAAGAAAATAAATTCGACCACAACGAGATTAGCCGGATCGTTTCCCTTGACACCCGAAAAAACTGCATCGACCCTTCAAGCACTTGGGGTTGACCGGGAAATGCAGAATTACATTGCCTCAGGTGACATATATGGAGGAGAAAAGCGATTGACTCCACTGAGAGCAACCTATCCAAATTTGGTTAGTTTGAAAAAAGGAAGTTCGTAACTTACCGAAAACTATTTCAAGTAGTTGCTATTTTTTTACCATCTTATCCTAATTTTTATCAGGTGAAGAAGGAGACATTGTTGCATCCATCTGAGGTTTTGCCTTTCAAGAAGTATGCAACCCAAATGGCTGCACTTGACTACATAGTGTCACTAGAGAGTGACATTTTTTTGCCGACTTATGGAGGTAATATGGCGAGACTAGTAGAAGGTCATCGAAGGTATTACTCAATTCTATAATCTTTTCCTTAATTCTTCGAGATTTAACTTAACAAACTACTCATCGTGTTTTCCCTCTTTTCCATTCTATAAGTTCAACAAAACACAAAAAAAAAAAAAATTATCAATTAGCAAATAGTTAGTGTTCTGTAGAAAACTACCCTAAAGTTAGCCTAATTAATTACAAAATGACCAATTCTCTCTTAGTATTACAAAATAATTACACAATTCTATTTTCAGGTACCTAGGTTTCAGGCCGACAATACAACTGGATCAGACGGCATTAGCCCATCTGATAGACAAATACGAGAAAAATCACAACTGGCAAGAGTTCGAGCAGGAAGTGAAGAGAGCTCATGAAAATCGATATGGGAATCCGACAAAATGAAGGGTCATACCTGGAAAACCCAAAGAGGAGGACAATTTTTGGTCTAATCCTGAAGAGTGCTTAGTTAAGACCGATATAAAAGAAAAATTGGGATGTCGAATGTGGAAATAGCTCCAATTGGTGTTGACGATTGTACATAACAACGCAGTGCTCAGGATTTTCTCTTGCCAACATTTCGGGTCCCAATATTATATTAGAGCAACGTTTTTCAATTTTGATTTATATATATTTTTAATATGGAAAAGTCATATTATAACACTGCAATCAAATGGCAAGTGTAGTTTTATAATTGTAACAACGGTAATTTAGGCAAAGAACACACAATGGCACAACACAGTTCAAACATAGACAACAGATAAAGCATTTGGGTCATGAGCTTCTCGAATTTGATTTTGCATTTCAAACTTGTTAGTGACAACCAATGGTAATTTTCAATAACATAGATATCAAAGCAAATCCATTCTATATTAACATAAATGAGAAGGAAGACATAGAAAAGTGAATTTTAAAGAAATAGTTCGCGCATATACAAGGATCAAATACTAAGTGGCTACCCGATGAAAACTCACTCGGTCGGAGAAGAAGAGCTTTGGAGCCCATCACAAAGTATTATTATCAAACCTTTTGCCTTTGATTCGAAGGAGTGGAAAAATTAAGAAGGAAAAAATTAAGAGCAATTCTAATATATGTAGGATGAAAAACTGGAAATCGTATTTATGTGCTTAAATGAATGTGGGCTCGTGTAGGAGGTAATTATTTCAACGTATTTAATGTAAGAGCCTTGGGCCCGATAGGGGTGTGTTCATTTATTAGTAGAAAATGTAAACGTATGGGCCCTAAATATATTGTAATAGATATAACAGATAGAAAAATAGAATTAGGCCAAAGCGGGCAACAAAAATCGCATAGTCGATGAGGTCGGCATGGACCCGAGCGGAAGAAGAACCGACCTCTCCAGTCGGTAATATTCTTAGGTCTATACTCTGCACCGGCCCCAGTTAATCCTACTCTCAATTTCGTTTTAAATACATGCATATATAAATACACATGTATATATATGTGCATACACATACGTAGATTAATAAAAAATATAATATTTGTGTAATATATATATGTATATATAATGATAATAGATAAATAATAGATATACATACGTATATATACATGCATGAATAAGAATGTGGACCGAATCATATTCGTGAAAGTCGAGCCGAGACGGGAAGGATATGGAGAAGTTAGTCAGCTGCAAGCCTTCGAGATAGGCACGACCGCTCCTCTAACACTTCTCTGTCTCAGAAGGTCACGAGGCCTTCGAGTCATGACGACATT